ACAGAGGTAAGTTCACACATAATTTTAAAACACAAAAGACCTACTAAGAAGGTATAATTCTATTTTAGTTAAATTGTTTGGGCTGACAAGAGTGGATTTTTATTTTCATTTATTCATTTATTTTGCTTTCTGCTATTTACAAAGCAATTGAAAACTAAATAATATATATTCAAATTATAACTACTTTTAATCAAACAATTTAAATGATATATAAAAATATGTTGAACAATTTCTCAAAATCATATAAAGATTCAGCATAACTCTGTTAATGTTTAATTAACTTGTATATTTTAAGAACTTACTCTTTTATATTTGTGAAGTATGTGAAAATTTTATATCACCTAATTATTAATTATTTATAATCAAATTCATCAAACATTTGATTTTGAGAATTTGTGGATCTTAACATTTGAAAAAAGAAGTGAATTACGATATTTAGATTTGGCATGTATTATAATCATCTAAATAAATTTATTTCAATCATGCTTCATCAAAAAATTCTACCTCTATAGTACTGAATTCTTTGTCTTATGGCACACAAAAAAGTACACAAATAAGTACAATGTATTATCTTGCATTTAAAAGAACATATATGAACAAAGCATTTAATCATCATCATCTACAGTATATATTAAATACAATTTATTATGCTTTAAGTTATATAAACATGTCTATTGAAAATTTGACATTACTCTCAAGGCACATGGAAAATAACTCATATTTTAAGCATTTTCACATAAGTAAAAATAGAACAGGGTAGAGTGACTTCTTCAAAAATGAAAAAACACCAAGCTGATGTTTTATCATACAAAAAAAGTACTTGATTTGACTATTTAAAGAAATCTGGCATTTGTTAGAAATGAGTTTCACTATCTTTTCTCAGAATGCTATTATAAATTATACTTTTAGAAAGTCATAATACTCAGCTTGTAACAACTTATCCATTTAAATTCACATGGATAAGAGAAACATAAGGAGGTGGTAAAAATAATCTATCCACTATCTAAATTACTAATGTATTGGATGAAATAATCATTTGACTTAGTACATTTTCCAAATTTAATATATTTCTATAGAATCAAGTCTACATTTTAAAAATAAAATTACTCTTCTCTATGTTTTCTCAGAATTTCATTTTATAGGTAAAGCTCATGGCCCCAAACAGTTCTCTAGGGTATGTAGGATATCTGGTGGCTTCCGTGCATAGTTATCCCTTAGTACCCCATGGGGATTGGTCTCAGGATACACACTTCCACAGACAGCAAAATCCATGGATACTCGAGTCCTTTATATAAAATGGTATAGTATTTGCAGGTAACCTATGCACATCCCGTATACTTTAAATTATCTCTAGATTACTTATAACACCCGACATAAGGTAAATATTAGGTAAATAGTTGTTATATTTTTTAAATCTGTATTATTTTTATTGTTGTATGGTTATTTAATTTTCCCCAAATATTTTCAATCTGCAGTTGGCTGACTCCTCAAATGTGGAACCTGCAGACAGAAGGCCAACTTTATATTCTGTTGGTACTAGCAAAATTTCCCCCTATACATTCCCCTTAGTGAAACTTGTCCTCAGCAAAAACTTTTAATATTATTTGGGTAAGTAATCCCCAAACTCAAGTCTCAATACTAAAAAGGGGGGAAAAAGGATTTAGCTCTGAATTTCCCTAAGATACTCTGCAAGATAATAAAGCCTCCAAAAATCTCTTTATATAGGAATTCTCATAAATTGTACTATGCTAATCATGATTATATGGGAGAGGTGGTTTGCAATGGCACAGAATTATATGCATTTAAACTTTTGCAAATTAAAATTAAACAAGACTCACACAAATTGCTGCAGTAAACTCACTGCAAGGAGAATTCTGATGTTTAAAAATATGTGAAAATAAAACGTTGATACTTTGAGACAGGTGTCTGCCAACCTCCTCATTTGCTGGGGAATTAATAAACTTATCTTTCCTTCTCCTCAAAAAAAAAGTGAAAATAGGTTTCTTATTTGACAAAGCCGCTAAATGTTAATGAATTGCGTCACCTGACACAACTAAAGAAAACAGCAATCTTGATCAATGCTACAGAAAAATATGATCGTAGCAGATTATGTTTATGCTATTTTATAGGGAGCAAAGGAATTTTCAAGGGCAATTTTGTGTATACATAATTTTTTTACCTTCCACACTAATTTTAGAACCTAACCACCAAAAAAGGTGCATGTTGCCTTTTTTTAAACACAGTTCTCTTTTCTAGAAACATTTCACAGGTCCAGTTCCACAGAACACATTTGGGAAAACTGATTCAGTGTTACAAAGTCAACATTCAAATTGAAAATTCATTATCAATTCTTGATAGCATGCTGCAACTGCAATATTACATTTCATTTAGTAATTTGCTTTCAATAATTTCAAAAAATAAAGCTTACTATGGCAAAGATGTATTTACTAGAATTATATCATAAAAACATTACCTCAAATTAGAATTGTAAGAATCCTTAGATGCAAAGAAAAGTCATAGAAGAGAGATGATAAAAATTATCAAAAGGAGATGTCAAATTATATTCAAGACACTTTTATAACAAAATATTTAACTCTAATCTCAGGTATAAAATGCCTTCTTTTTGAAGTAAAGGAATCAACATGCTAAAATAGTACCATAAGAGTTCATGTTTATTTTTTCTATTTCTATAGCCTTAACCTAAATTTCTGATTTAATTTCCTCTCACTACAATGCCTATCCTTGTCACTTTTCCTAAATCACAGCTCTAATCATATCATTCCCCTAACCCAAAGCCTTCAGTGGCTTCTCATTGTACATTCAGTTAAATCTGACCCCTTAAAAATTGTATTTAATGTAATCCAAAATCTGGCAGCAACCACTCCCCAAATTGATATCCCCCAGTTAACCTTTAATTACTCTTCAACAAAAATTTTGAACCATCTAGTATGATTTAGGCACCAAGACTTGTTCCAAAATACTCTCTTTCATTGGTTCTCAAATTTTAGCTTGTGTCAGAACCTCTAGAGGGCTTATTAAGACAGATTGCTGGACTCCACCCCGAGTTTCTGATTCAATCTAAAGTGATGCTGCTGCTACTGATCAGGACCCACACTTGAAGAACCATTGCTCAACTCCAAAGGCCACAAACTGGAAGCCCAATGGCTCAATAAGGCCCACTCACATGTTGTCTGTATAGTGTTTTAAAAGCATTTAGAATTACTTGCAAACATTTTAAAATTATAAAATTTTACATAAAAAATGCAGATTTCTAGCTTATTGCTGCATGTAAAAATTCTGCTGGAACTAAATAGCTGCTACCCCATTTAGTCCAGCTGCTACCCCTTCCTAGTCCAGGTTACCACAGCTCTAATTGGCTCTCTCTACACTCACTTAAAATCACTGGCTTAGCACTGCATTTGTGCTTACATGCACTGATCCACTTTTTCCCATTCTCTATGTCTTTATGCCAGTTGCTCGCTCTGACTTCAAACACCCCCTCTCCCATACACTGCTGAAATTCTACCTACACCAACCATTCTAAGACTTGGCTTAGAAATCCTTTCTCAAAAAAACCACAGCAAAACAAATAATAGAAATTCTTAAGTAGTATACATATTAGAGATTTAACATAATTTCAATAGGTATGCTTTAAGTATTGAGGTTTTAATTTCCACAAAAACTAAAATATTTACAAAAAACAAAGACTATAGATTATATCATAAATTATAAACATGATTTCTTTGCTATTTTTATTCTAAGTAAAATCTTAATTTTGTTCATTCTGATTTGTACTATGAAAAAATGTTTTTCAGAATATTTAAATTAGATTATGGCATTAAATCACACAGCCAAAATACATAATAGCTTCAATAGAATACTTTACCATACTTTGCCAGACCAAAAAAAGTGGAATAGGAGTGATTAATACAATTCCCCAGATTTCGTAAGGTAACAATCTTTAAAAGCAGTTTTAAGGAAATAAATGCTTCTAATATTTAAATCTGGAGAATATTTTACTGGATTTTCACTTCTATGGAATAGCAGGAGGCCGAGCGTGGTGGCTCACCCCTGTAATCCTAGCACTCTGGGAGGCCAAGGCGGGCCAGATTGCTCAAGGTCAGGAATTAGAAAACAGCCTGAGCAAGAGCGAGACCCATCTCTACTATAAATAGAAAGAAATTAACTAAACAACTAAAAATATATATCTACAGAAAAAATTAGCCGGGCATGGTTGCGCATGCCTGTAGTCCCAGCTACTCAGGAGGCTGGGCAAGAGGATTGCTTGAGCCAGGAGTTTGAGGTTGCTGTGAGCTAGGCTAACGCCATGGCACTCTAGCCCAGGCAACAGAGTGAGACTTGTCTCAAAAAAAGGAATAGTAGGGGGGAAATTACACAAAGAAAAACTGGTGCTAGTCTTTACTCTGCCATAAATAGCTTTAACTACCTTATTAAGTCATTAAGTTCTCCCTGGACCTCAGTTTCACTACCTCTAAATTGAAGAGGTAGAAAAAAGAGTTCTTCAAATATCTTCTATCTTTAAATCCTAGGACTTACCTCTTCAAAAATGAAAGGATAAACCATGACATACGACAAGTTTCTTGTTATTAGGTTAATATAGCTTCTAAACTAAACTGACTTAATAACCTTTATACCTTTCAAAGTTCTCTAAAATGTTAAAACTCAGAACATTAAAATACGTATGTTTGTATACCTATTTATATACATTTAATGATCAAATAAAACATCTTTTGTAAGGCCAACTATTAAACTTCTTAGAAGAAAACAGGAGAAAACTATTAATATAAAGCATGCCAATCGATCAGTAAATTTTAATGTCTCAAAAGAAAATTAAATAATTAGAAAATCATGTTAAAAGTTTTTCCATAGTAGAGATTACACCATTTTTCAAGAATATATATTTGCTTCAGGAGATTCCAAAATTAAAGAAATTTGGCCAATAAAATTATCAAATTGTAGATTGAAAAAAATCTTACAGACTATTTATATCCAGGTAGATCATGCCGTAAGCAAATTGCTTTCAGCTTCTCCACTTCAATTTTTGCTCTTAGTAGCTTCCTCTAGTTGCTGCCTTCTTTTCAATCCATCCCTCTTCTCCTGAACATACAATCCGAAGTTTTTTGATTTTCTAAATTATCTATGCTCCTCTTTCAACATTTGCAGGTTTGAGGATCATACCCTAATAGTGACCTAAAGTGTTCTCCATTCTCATGGCGAAAAAAATCATCTCTCCTTGGATAGAAGATGAGACGATGTCATTCTCACATCAACAGAGGAAGTGAAGGCGACAAGGATCTTTCCATAACATGTACTAATTCATGTTCTTCTCTTTGCTCTAAAATATCATTCCTGCTGAGAATTTAAAACCAGTGGAGGAGTGGTTTAATGTCTTCTTCTTGCTTCACCTCCACTGTAATAGCAACAGGATGGTGATCCAACATTACCTGTGTGGAACTGGTACCAGCCTGTGCTCCTCATCCAAGTTTGCACTATAACACACAAAAAGCATTATAAATGTAAATCAAGGACAAGAGTATATTTATAGCATAATTTCACATTTAATATATATAACTATAAAGCTTTTAAAACTATAAAGAAAGTCATGACACAAAAAAATGTTAACACTGGAACAACAAATGAAGTGACTAAAATTGGAATTAAACAATATAGATATACAGGTCCCCGGCCCACATCCTTAACTTTAAAATTGGGCTACTTTTTTTTTTTTTTTGAGACAGGATCTCACTCTGTAGGCCAGGCTAGAATACAGTGGTGGTGTGATCATAGTTCACTGCAGCCTCAGTCTTCTGGGCTCAAGCAATTTCCCACCTTGGCCTCACAAAGTGATAGGATTAAACACAAGCCACCATGTCGGCCAAAACTGGGCTTTTAAAAGGGCAGGAACTACAAATATTATACAAAGTCAATGAAATAAATAAAAAGAAAAGCCATTTTTAATGCTCTCAAAGAGAAACCAATTGTCCTACAACTCTGTGTTTCTCCATGGTGTAAAGAGCCATTTATGCATTCTCAGCCTTGTTTATTCATACCTTAACCCTAGAACTCATTCTGCTCTCCTGGACTGATCTAAAAACCACCAAGTCCCATATCTTCTAGAAGGACAGTGGAAGGCCATCTATGGGAGGTACTGATTTTGCATTTGCCCAACAACTAAAACAGATTATGTTGGCTTTGGGGTTCCCCACTATAGGGTATTATTCTAACTATCCTATTTCAAATACAATGGCATCTCCTCTTTACACCTATCCTGAACCACAGGACTCAGTTGCTCTCTTTATAAGTCTTTCAACCATTGGTAAGGTAAATTCACAAAAGCAAGGTTTTTCTCTACCACTATATACCTAGTACCTAGCATTTTTGTACCAGAAACCTACGGGTGTGTATTATATGTTGAATGATTACATATGAACAAATGACATGCTTTTTAATGAATGTTTTTAACTGGCTATAGATATATTGAAGTTTATCAAATCTACACATAATTTCCATAAGATATGGATTCTTAGTAGAGACAACTACAATTTTAGCATAATTAAACCTTGAAATAGCATTTGTTAAGACATTATAATGCAACACCCAAAATTCTGTTTCAAAATAATTCTTATATACTATCAAGCTGTTTTTAAAAATATTTCTGTATATATGAAGAATATACTCTTGTTTCTTGAGTATTTTAAAAATTATACTTCTAACATAAAATAAAAGGTTTAGAGGGAAAGATTATTGGAACATTAATGGAGTATTTAGCATTATTTAGGGAACTTTTACAAATGATAAGTAAGATAGTTTAAAATACATTCTATATAGATGATTAAATGCTGGAACAAGTTCAAATAGAACGTATGGAAAAAAATTAAACTCTCCTTATGCCACTTACTAATGGCATTAAATTGCCAGAATAGCAGATATTTATTCAGAGATAAATGAACTAATAGATATATTATATATAATAAATTTATTTATGAATTATATAATTCCTTCATTTTTGTTGTCTTTTTTGTCATTTATGATTTCAAAATAAAACAATGGTATTAAATGTAATTCAAATTAGCAAGATCTGCTTCTATTAATATCTCTGCTAAAACATTCAATGGAAAGGTTAGTAATACATATGAAAATTAGTTTTAAAATCACTCGTTACTATTCAAATTTATGTATAATAGAATATAACCATAGATGTTATATTCTCAAGTAAATTAAAAATATGCCTTATATCTGGACTATTCCATTTATTTAAGTTAAAACATTCAAGCAAAGCATAACAAAATTTTTTAAAAGTAAGCTTTAGGATCACAAAAATGATCAATAGAGAAGACTGCTAAAATTTATAAGTCTGAACTTTGAGGATCAAACAGTTTACAAAACAAAACATGTTCTTCTTAGCCTTGCCCTTGCCAAAAAAAAAAAAAAAACCCACAAGTATAATCTGATATTAGGGAGGTAAAAAAAGATACAAATCAATGTGAGTTATAGAAATAAAGCAGCTTTACAAAATAGGTATATATTTTTTAATATGTTAAATAATACAAATAGTAATATTTTCCTTCTTAAGGAGAGTTTGCTGAGTTAGCAGGCATGTTATTTAGAACATAATTAAGATAATAAAAAATTAAAACTTTGAGATATTAATTAAGATGTATCATCCAATAAGTAGAAGCACATTAATATAATATTGAACGAATAATAATATATAAGAAATGGCAGTATAACACACTAACATAAGATTTAAATGGCATGTTTCTTACATTCTCCCTTTAAAATCTAAAAATTGGTATTATTTAAAAAGTAGGTATAGAGGCATAAATCATAACTAATTTTTTATCGGAAATGTTGTGTCCCAAAAGACTTTGTGAATATGTATGTTGTATGTATATGCTGCAAATGGTAAAATGTAAACAAGATTTGTATGTTTATTATTGCTTCTCTTCTATACTCACTGCATTTTAAAATCGCAACTAAAATTACAGTTTCTATATGTAGTTTCAAATTATAAAAAAACTATATTTAATATCTAAAAGGTATAGTTTTATACCTGTAATGCAAAAAGTTTTCTTTATGTTCTAGAGTAGAAATTCTGAATAAGTAGCACAATATATACAATTTTACTGTGGATTTTTTAATATCGAGGGTATTGGATTCATCATTTGTCTTACAGTGAACATTTACTAGTGGCCCAAGAATTAGTCACTGTGTATCCATGTCCTGGATTCCCCACTGGTGGTATTTTTTTACTGTACAATCAAGTAGATAGCAGTATATGGCAAGAAGATAGATTGCCAAAGTAACAGATATACTTGATTTTCTCTCTTGCTTCTTTCCAAATATCAAAGGGTTTCAGATGATCAATAATTTGTTTATATATCCAGCAATAGAAAAGCACACTGTATAGCTTTGTTTGAAAAGCCCTTTATGAGGAGTTTTATTTGTTTAAATCACCCCAAATGGTTCAGAAGAAGGTAGCTGCATTTTTATCTTTCCCAAGGGTTATAATTTGAATTAGTGGGCAAGGTAATTGTTTGAAGATTCCCAAGCAGGTAGTTATACAGCATAAATTTAACCAAAAAATTGTGTAATATCCTAAAAGAGCCAGTTTCCCTTATGGTTTATTAAAATTCAGAGTTTCATATCCTTGCAAAGCAGTAAGAAAAAGCTTACTCTTTCCTGTATGGCCAAGATCAAGTGAAAAGAGCATTAATAAATAAATAAATAATAAAACTTTTAATTTTATTAAGTAATCTGAATTCCTAATTAAGCATTAACTCCTTTTAGTTGTATTCAATTTATTTTAAATGTTTTAGAAAATATTTAATTGTTTTCATATACACAATCATGTCATTAATAAGTTTACTTACTGATTTTCGTTCTATTTGTTAGTTCAGTGCATGCTCAGTAAGTGTAGACAGTGACAATTCAGTGCAGACACTGACAATTCATAAAAAACAAAGGTCCATTTCTCTGGAGACTTCTAACTTTATATCAATGTTATATAAAATCAAAAAACTCCAAAGATGTAATCTTAAATAAAAAAGGTATTCCTCAGAAATAGTTAAATAATTTAATTTTTAAAGCTTAAAAGTTTATGAAGTGATGTCACAAATTTCATGCCATTTTATTCCTCCTAACCTTTACTTTTCCGAAACTACAGGAGGGAAGGGGGAGGGAAGACAGTAAAAAAAAAAAAAGTAGCTTAAATCAAATGCAGCAGAAAATTCCTTATAGCTCACTTTTCTTAAGAATGCAAAACAAAGCACTATTCATTGCTCCCCTTGTGGGGATGCTTACTATGCATATCTCTATCAAACTAACCAAAGCTCAATAGATAGGGGCGCCATAATTTTCACAACAAAATAAAATAAAGCTTACCTTTGTATGTGGTTCCTGTCTCTTACCAGGCAAAACTGGAAATCTGGGTATCATCTCCATAACTTTCTTGGTTGGCTCAGAAATATTGCTTTTAAATCTGATTGGGTCTCTTTTTGCTGCAATAGCTCCTGTTTGCATATTCTTTGAGCCTTTTGTAAAGGGTGCGTAGGCCCTGCGCTGTTCGAGAAGGGCGGTCTACTCCAATTGCATTATAGTTAACTGCTATGATATCCAACACCTATTCTTTTCCACTATTACTGAATGTTATTAGTGTGTTCTTCGAGAATTTTCACATATGGCTTCACAAGCTTTAGCAATCAAGCTTTTCAGATAAGGTAAAATTGGAATCTAGCCTTTCCTACCATGTTCTTTTCAATTAAGTAGGCAGTTTCGAAACCACCAAGCGCCTCAGCTCTGCCAGCTCTTTCACAAACAGAAAAGATTCAGGCTTAACTGGCTAGCCTCATTTGGCCCACGCCTACAGGGGAGGGTTTATTAAATTTCCAGCTTAAGCTGACGCAGGTTCAGGAAATCTGCTAAGCCAAGCCTGACCTACAATAAAGCTTCGCACTGAAGAAGACAGGAAGGTACAAGCAAAACACCTTGTGTATAAAGGAAACAGCTCGAGATAGGATTTAATACACAAAGATATAGAGATAAGCATGGCAACGCTAAAAATTAGCTAATTTAGTGAAAATATTGAATTTCCACACATGTATCCTAGCTGAAAGACTGAAACTGCACTGCAGTATCACTTTAATAAAACAAAAGAGGAACTGTTTTGTGCTATTTGTTTACAATCCAGTAGACAGAAAACTAAAAGATATGAGTTGGTGAATGTAGTAATTTCTAACAGAGCCCTCATCACTGTTTTGAGTTGAGTATTCTCCCTTACAAAATCTGCATAATGCTGGTCTGCTGTCAATCAGGATTGCATATCCTCTAGCTAGTTAGGTTACCCAGACTCAGACTCCACAGTAAGCTAAGCTTCTCCTTCATTTTGCAATCTACTATTAGCCCTGCATATTTTTTTCAGTTATTTAAGAAGAAATTTTTGTTGAACAGGAAATCTAAAAAGCAGATAAAATTAGTTTTTAAAGCAATGGATTATTCTAGTTGGTAATCTATGTGAATATGCTAGCCTGCTTTATCATGTGTAAAAAATCACTATTCATGGTGAGAAACAGCATAACCATGTCTTCAGACTCCAAACAAAATCACATTTGCTACTTTAATAGAGCAGGATTTTATTTAGTTATATTCACAAATTCAGACTATGAAAGGAAACAGCTAGTCTAGCCTTTTCAAGGCCACCAGTTTCGATGCTTACAATATATTTTCTATCCAACCTAAAATACGTGATAATAACATAAGCAAAGCAAGGCCTATATTTCATGATACACATTTCTACAGATAGGAGAATGAATGAGGACATACTTGAACAGAGTTCAATTCAATCAAACAATTACTGAACACCTATAAAAATGCCTCAAGAACTGTGCAAGCCCCAAGGAAATCAAAGGTGAATCTAGATACAGACTCTATCCAGGGAACTGCAGTTTCACAGAAATGCTATAAATTCTCAATTGCCTTTTCCCCATTCTTTTAACAAAAGAGATGCAAATTAAATTTATTGAATTCTCACTATAAGCCCCAACCGAAATGTGTGACTAAGGCAAGGATCTCAATCAATTGAGGTTTATTAGCCAGCTTTAGGGAAGCTTCCGAGAAAACACAAGCACAGATGTATCTGTGACTGTTTTTTCAAAGAGGTTTTCAGGAGATGAAGTATGTATACATTCCTCACAAGGGGGCAATGTAGGAGAGGGTAGGTAGCAGTAAGGGAAATGGTTACATTCTTAGAGACTTGTGAGGGCCCAGGAATCTACATTTTCATATAAGAAAAGGTAAATGTTTGAAGAGAGAAAAGAGAGTAAAGGGAAGAATCAATTATGCAGACATCTCTGAGTAGGTGGAAGAATGATTCAGCTCCTCTTTGTCTGTGCTTGCACCTGGGAAGATAGGCTTGTATTAACATTATCAGTGTGGAATCAAGGGAACTTTAGTTTTAGGAGCTAGACTCAGACTGAAACCTAAAAATTACAATTGTCCTGTCTTTGCAATGGGAGGCCAGCAAAGAATTTACTTAGGAATGATCTGTGGGAGCAGTCTTTCATAAATGCATGAGGCCTTTGACCTTTCCTTGGTGATCTGGCTAATGCATAATGTTAGCAATAGCTATTCATTTGGAAAAAATTGTTGCATGACACATCCTCCAGGCTTAGCTTTCCCTTTGGCATAAAGGGTCCTGAGTTTTTTTAATTTTCTTTACAAGGCAGACAATGTTCCAGAAATTTTAAATGTATTATCTGTCAGACAAAAAGTGAAAGATTGTCGAGTCTTCCATAGAATGCTAGGTGTTGTGTTGTCTAGCATACCTACTGGGAAATGTGCTAGTCCTACCCCTTTCATTGTTTTTTGTTTTTTGAGACAGAGCCTCGCTTTGTTGCCCAGGCTAGAATGAGTGCCATGGCGTCAGACTAGCTCACAGCAACCTCAACTCTGGGCTCAAGCAATCCTCCTGCCTCAGCCTCCCAGTAGCTGGGACTACAGGCACGCGCCACCATGCCAGCTAATTTTTTCTATACTATTACTTAGCCAATTAATTTCTTTCATTTATAGTAGAGACGGGTCTCGCTCTTGCTCAGGCTTTGTTTCGAACTCCTGAACCTTAAGCAATCCGCCTGCCTCCCAGAGTGCTAGAATTACATTGTTTTAATAGTTTTACAGTAAATTGTAGAAAATAGTAATGTAAATGATTCTTGTGTAGACATGCAAATTAAAATTGGCCCGCTCAAAAACAAGGTATTCAAGTCATTCTAGCTTTTCTGAGCTTTTAAAACATTCAAGAGAATCAAGGAAAGCAAAACACAGGATATATACTTTATCTAGATATTTTGTTATTTTCAGAACAAATCAAAGGTATTCGTGTTATGTAATGAAATACTGGCTGGTCCGATGGTAGTGGGTTATCAGAATTTATTAACATTAATGTCACTAAAAGTTGGCATTCAACCCCCACAGCTAAATTTGAATGGCTTAAAAAAATTTACTAAAAAAAAAAAGGTTCAATTTAATTATCAGGGAAATGTACACTAAAATAATTTTCATCCATGATTGCAAAATTTTTAAAGATGCAAATGTCAAGAGTGGATAAGGGCCGGGGCGCAGTGGCTCAGCCTGTAATCCTAGCACTTGGGAGGCCGAGGAGGGCGGATTGCTCAAGGTCAGGAGTTCGAAACCAGCCTGAGCGGACCCCGGTCTCTACCAAAAATAGAGGAAATTAATGGACCAACTAAAATTATTATATACAAAAAATTAGCTGGGCATGGTGGCAGCATGCCTGTAGTCCCAGCTACTCGGGAGGCTGGGGCAGGAGGATCGCTTGAGCCAGAGAGATTGAGGTTGCTGTGAGCAAGGCTGACGCCATGGCACTCACTCTAGCCTGGGCAACAAAGTGAGACTCTGTCTCAAAAAAATAAAAAAAATTTAAAAAAATTAAAAAAATTAAAAAAAAAAGAGTGGATAGGGAAAGAGTACTCTTCTGCACTGTTGAAGGGAATGTAAAATGGCATTTTTGTATGGTAATCTATGAGTATCTATTAATGTTATATGAGTAAAAAATTTAAAATTTTGGTAATTTTACTTCTCAGAATCTATCTTAGGAAAATACTCAAATGCACACAGGTTAAATGAAGCACTTTATATAGAAGTGTAGTACTGGAAACAATCTAAAAGGACATCAGCTGGGACTAGTTAAAACCAGAGTACATCCATATGATGGCCTACTCCAAGCAGCATTAAAATGAAAGAAGCAGATTTCTAAATATTAGCATAGAACAAGCCCCAAAACATATGGTAAATGAAAAGAGGAAGTAAAAAAACCAAAACAAATAAACAAATATGTATATAAAATATACCCATGATCCCATTATGTTTACAAAAAATACCCAAAGTTGGGCCAGGCACACAAGCTCATGCCTGTAATCCCAGTAGTAGGGAGGCCAAGGCAGGTGGATCAGTGGGGGTGAGGAGTTCAAGACCAGCCTGGGCAACATAGCAAGAACCCATCTCTCAAAAAAAAAAAAAAAAATTAACCAGGCATGGTGGCACACACCTGTAGCACCAGCTACTCAGGAGGGAGAAGGATCACTTGAGCCCAGGAGTTCTGGGCTGCAGTGAACTATGACCACAGAGCTGCTGCTCTCCAACCTGGGTAACAGAGTAAAACTCTGTCTCCAAAAAAATAATAATAATAACCACCCAAAGTTAAATATTTCTGTAGATACAGAATGTATCTATGCTGTAGAGAATGCATGAAAATGGACTCCAAATAGTACTAGAACCCTGCTATCCAATATAATATCCATGAGCAACATGTAGCTATTGAGCATTTTAAATGTGGCTACTGAGACTGAGAAAATGAATTTTAAATTTTATTAAATTGTAATGAATTTAAACAAAATTTTTAAACTGAGGCAGCATAGTTTTCCCTTAAAAACAATTTTACTGTTTTGTTAGGATTACATTTTACCTTAATTTTTCCACTACATATGATAATATCAAAAGATAAAATTAGGCCGGGCGTGGTGGGTCACGCCTGTAATCCTAGCACTCTGGGAGGCCGAGGCGGGCGGATTGCTCAAGGTCAGGAGTTCGAAACCACCCTGAGCAAGAGCGAGACCCCGTCTCTACTATAAATAGAAAGAAATTAATTGGCCAACTAATATATATCTACAGAAAAATTAGCCGGGCATGGTTGCGCATGCTGTAGTCCCAGCTACTCAGGAGGCTGAGCAAGTGGATGCTTGAGCCCAGGAGTTTGAGTGCTGTGAGCTAGCTAACGCCATGGCACTCTAGCCCAGGCAACAGAGTGAGACTCTGTCTCAAAAAAAAAAAGGAATAGTAGGGGGGAAATTACACAAAGAAAAACTGAGTGCTAGTCTTTACTCTGCCATAAATAGCTTTAATACCTTAATTAAGTCATTAAGTTCTCCCTGGACCTCAGTTTCACTACTCTAAATTGAAGAGGTAGAAAAAAGAGTTCTTCAAATATCTTCTATCTTTAAAATCCTAGGACTTACTCCTTCAAAAATGAAAGGATAAAAACCAATGACATACAGACAAGTTTCTTGTTATTAGGTTAATATAGCTTCTAAACTAAACTGACTTAATAACCTTTATACCTTTCAAAGTTCTAACTAAAATGTTAAAAACTCAGAACATTAAAAATACGTATGTTTATACCTATTTATATACATTTTAATGATCAAATAAAACATCTTTTGTAAGGCCAACTATTAAA